CAAATGAGAGTAAACTATGAATTGGCCCTGCTGTGATGAGCCTGACCTCTCTTTCAACCCAGCAATAACAATCATCTATTAATTATTAAGCGTCTTCACTTTATGTATGTTTTTCCTCATTAACATGGTTTATGTTTTAACGTTGCTTTACTGGCCCTTTTAAGCCTATAACTGTGTTTGTATGCTCCTTCCATTCATATTGTACACACAGAGAAAGACACACACACAAAAACAAATATGTTATGATGGAATACAGACCGGAAGGGATAATATGTGCAGGTAAAAAAAGCAAAGTATGAACGACACTAAAATGAAAAGCCTTCAAATCCTCAAACAGCTCTTCCTGGAAAGCTGCTGAAAATAGATCAAACAAAGACAGATTCACCTGCTTTTCATCTGTTTAAAGCATTGATTTTTCTTGTACATACACCTCCTTCTAATTGGTTTAAGGTGATTATTTTCTCAACCTGTTTACAACACTGCAGGGTCATAAAAGTGGAAGAAGGCTGAGAACTGGGGGCTGTTGCAAGTTTCCACTATCTCAAGACTACAGCTTTCATATAAAATTGCTAAAATAAAGGCAGACAAAAGACCAGAGGGGAAATGAACTCAGAGAGATGAAAAGACTTGGTGTGCTATTATTACACTCTTCAAATAAGCCTCCACTATAGAGACCAGGAGATTTATTTTTAAAAGGGACAGTCTGGGCAAGAAGAATGCACAGTGAGATAACATGATTATGTAATTGAATTTTTTATGCAATTGAGAACAAAGATGGTCTTGATATAGGCCTTGTGGCGACTGTTATTTCGGAAAGTGTGTTTAATAGGAAAATCTCACATCTTGGTGAGGTAGCGTTGCAGAAACAAATCTTCTTGCTACATATCCTGCCAATCTTTTTCTAAACTATCACTTATATCGCAATTGATTTGGTCCAGTCATTTTATTTTGACCTTATACTCAATGTAGTTTTTGCAAATAATTCTGCAAATGCTAGTTATAATGTGAGGAGCTGACTGCATTAGGACAATTTATTTAAACACATCTACTAACTTTAAAATCTTGTGCTCTGATTGCATTGACTTGCTGGCACTTATTGCATTGTGTGTCATCTGGCAGCAAAGTTAAACCAAAGTGTATTTGCCAGTCCTGTCTGATCCTGTCTGGTCTTGATACTGCGGGTAAATACAGATGGCTGTTTGTGTTGAGGCTGTCAACCACTCCCTCCATCCTCATTCTTTCACTCTCATCTGTCCTTGTTAACGTGAGCAGAGATGGACAACAGTGTCAGATAGAATGACTCATAGCCATAGCTTCACTGAATAAGTAATTGAGTAATGAGAAATGCTGATGGCCTGTCATGGGAAGACAAAACATCTTAAGTGAGAATATGGAAACAGACCTATAGGATCTCATTTAAATGAATTAACTGTCCTGACATGTAATTAATGGAAAGTAAAGGACATACATACAGCGTTGTGTTGACATTCCCTCTGTGCTTTTCTCTTATGCATGGCAATCAAATGTTGCCAATAGTATGTTTTTAAGGTCTGTGCATGCATGCACGCGTGTACATGCAAAAATGAGTAAAAGGCCAAGGCCAATGGGTCACTGTGTACTGGACAGACAGTGCCTTAAGGGTTTTGCTGCCCTATGTAGCATATCTGTCAGCTGAAGCAAGTGTGAGACTGGAAAAATGCCCAGGATGGCTCTGGAGCCTGTCTACAACAGATCAAACTTGACTTCAACATCAGTTAGTAACTGGGGAACACACTGGCTCATTTCTTATGCCTTAACATCTGCCATTTTAATAAATTCAACAGTGAAAGCCTGCACAAGGTGCAAAAATGTACGCAATGTGATAAACAATCCCAGTAGTTGGTCTGGAAAAAGAGACTTAGAAATGAGAGTAAGTTAAAAATAAATCTTAATATTCATATCTACGGAGCTATGTGAAACATTTCTTAATTCAGTCTATGTGAAAGAATAAAGAACAAATTGACTCATTGCCCTCAGATTAGTATTCAAAAGCTTCACTGTGATTGTCACCTATTAATCCATGTTTTGCAATGCTTGAGAATGCCACCACTTTCAACCTAACGATGTATGCTCTTTTTCATTTCAAACCAGTGAGGCATCACTGCCAAATGCAAATCATTCACCAAACACAAAAGAGCACACATTGTTCTGCAGAGAGCTGTTTAGCATGTTTCTGCGATATCGTACAAAACCCTTTCAACAACAACACAAATGCAGCCAAACAATGGCAGATTATGTTACCAGTCTGAACTGATTCTGTATAATGGTGCACACATGATGCATGTTCTTGTCTTGGAGTTTCTTATATCACTAATGGGTTGTCGTCAAATACACTGCAGCAATAATGCCCGGTACGTCCCCCCTAACCACTCATTCTTCATTCTCTGCTACAGGGAGAAAAACAGTAACCAGCTCCACTGAGTTGGAGTTGTTTAAAAACTTTCCCTGTCTTTAGGAGAGAACAGTTATGGCAGCATCCGTCATATTTTAGAGACAAAGTGATGGCGAAGGTCCAATGATTTGCAGACGGCAGTGCTGAGATAAATGGGCAAAAAAAATCATCCATCGTGAAGTCAATCTTCAAAACTCAAGGGACATTTGCCTGACTTCATTCACAGTCACCATTACAGTGACTCAGGGCACTGGAATGAATTTCACCTCAGTAAAATTAGGCATTAGGTTTCTGATAGCGATGCATTATATACAAATACACATATACAAATGCTGGGGAAAAGGTGAACTGGAAGTGAACCAGGGAATAATCATTCATTGGGGAATTGGAAGCAAACCAGGACCTTATTTAAACCAGGTTAAGACTCCTTGAACTAAATAGTTGTATTTAGTTCACAAAAACAAAAACTGGTTGCCTATCAATGACTTTATATGCCCTTTGCGCCAGTGTTGTGGTTGTCTGCTAGAAGCTGTCATAAATTGATCTGGATCCTAAGTTACATAGATTTTTTAAGTGTTTTACCGGTTATAATCGCTGGGACCTCAGTGAATAATTCTGGCACAAACATCCAGAAATTCTAGATCTTAAATTATCAGAGAAACAAGTTGAGCTAATGTTAGCAGCAGGCAATCTGGGGCGTTGTTTGACAACCGAACAGCATCAGGGAGACACAGATTTGAAAGGTGAGACTTATTTAACCGGGTCCTTCTGTTTTAGGGAGGAGGAAACTTCTGTGGATTACTGAGCTCCTGGTAAATACCTCCTGAACAATAAACATTGAAGGAATCCTAACTGGGAGAATCTGACCGCAATGACAGCAATGGTGGTGAAGACGACAACTCCCATGATCCCCTGTTACTTCACGTCATCAAAATTTGTCTTTTGTTATTGTTTTGATGTAAGAGACCCTCTAGTGGCAGAAGTTACATAATTGTATGTTTAATGGTGTTAAACTGACATTGTTACGCCCACCATTTTGTCAGATCCGTGACCAAGTAAGAATCTTTTATCCATGCTCCAAATGCCTTCTAGCTTTTTTAAAGATTCGTGTTTTGTAATTTGGTGGGATTTGTTTTTTCTGCAAACTGTTGACCACTAAGTTGAATATAGAGAATATTATATATATATATATATATATATATATATTGTCCAATACAGTTTTTACAGTTTCACAATCACTAGAAACAAAGACTATCTATCTTCAACTTTTACTGGGAGCATGTTTGGCTCACTGCATCTACATGCACAGTCAGGGCAAAAGAAACACATTGGCAGCAAAGTCCCCAGTTGCAGCTGAGAGGTTTCAAACACTGCGGTATTCAACCATTCCCAGTTGTGAATATGAGTAACTGAATGCCCACAAAAATACTCCCTAAGGCTGACAGCAGTCTGCCTCCTTCACTGTGCTGCTTTCACTTGCTGTAAGGTTCTGGTGCACTGCTACCAAAGTTTCTAAAAACACTAGAGCAAATTAAGCCATTAAAAATATTGTATCACCAGTTTAATGTTTGTTAGTTTCACTCAATAAAAGTTTGCCCTGTATAAAAGTGAACCTGAAAAAAAAGACTGTTTTAATGTTATTACTCCACCTCTCTGTCAGTCCTGTCATATTGAACAAAAATGTATTCTCAGAGGGTTCCATGCTCTGATGCATTTCTATTTAGGCGTCCTTGATTTAAAAAGATCTGGGAGCATTTGGTATAGTCTGGCCTGCAGAGCAGCTATTGGCAGCAAAGATAATGCCTCGTACCATTTAATAGCAGTTGCACAGAAAAAGGCAAAGTAGATGGCACCAGGAAAATCCTAAGCAGCCAGACACTGAGAGAGGGGAGTGGGGAAGCATACCATATCAGCTCCTAATGAAAACAAACCACATGTCCAAAATAGATGCACAATATTATGCACATATTCTCTATGAAGCCTGAATCAATTGACATTCAAACATATTACTATGCAAAACACAGTTTACATATATGCCACAATATCTTGTTCTAAACAAATTGGTGTCATTTAACTGCCAAAACTTGAATAAAAATTCATTATAATATGAAACAGTTAGCTTTAACTGTACAATGTGCATTTTATAAATTATATTACAATGCTTTTTTAGTCAGTCTTTTCTATGGATTCTGACACAATCACACAAAAGTAGAAGTCCAAGTCAGACATGGTCTTACAAAACAACATAAACCATAATAAACTTTGACAGGATACACTAAAACTAGTAATACCACACAGTAGGAGGGAAATAAGTACCATAAAGTACAGTAAAAACAGTTTTAAGTCCCATTAGCAATATTATGGGAATGTATATAGATTTTTTCAGGTAAAGAAACTAAATGTATTCAATACATCGTCATTAATAGTATTCAGACGTATAGAAAATGTAAAATTGTCAAAGCGACTCGTACTTGTTGACCGGCCACGCCCATGAAATCAATGGACAAATGTAACAAAAAGTTCGGACAAGCCAAACACCTTTGGGCAGATAGGAAGAGAAATGTCTCACCTGCGCAGCCATGAAGGACAGATCCATGCTGTTGCTTCGTTCAGACCAACGCACTCAATGAAAGATGCGAACGTGCGTAGTTTTTTCTCTTATTCCCCGACAGCGCATTTGCCTTTTCTTTCTTTCTTTCTTTCTTTTTTTAACTAAGGCATCCACGGGCTTTGCAAGTTGGCTGACTTCACGTGAGCAGCATGTCGAAGATAAAGAATCAAAATAAAGAATGAAAAAAACAAGAGGAGGAGGAAGAGGAGGAGAAAGGAAGGGATGTGACAGTGGGCAGGAACAGAAGCTGAGCAGACGGAGAGATGAAGAGATGTGGATGCGAGAGACGGCATGAGACTGAGAGAGGGAGGCAGAGGAGGAGGAGGAGGCGGCGGTGGAGCTGGACTGTCACATAAGCAAGGAGGTGCAAGTGTCTCTCTCTCTCTTTCTCTGCCCCCCTTTCTTTCTTTGCTTTTTTTCTACGTGCGTCATTCTTATTTATTTACTTATCATGCACTATGTGTATGTAGTGCACACTGCTACATACACCCTGTCCATGTGTTTGTTGTGGCTGTTCATAGTTTGAGCTAGTCCCAGTTTGTGCCTCTCATTTATTATCATTACATTCAAGTCACAGAGCATCTGCTTGTTCTAAATAAATAAATACCCATTGTTTCCTATACAGGTAGCTGGAAATGACATTTTTAAGAAATATAGCCTATTGTTGTATGAAAATAGCAGAGAATAGCAGATACGTCAGTAACTGATTATTAAACCGTGTTCATTTGAGAAAGGATATACTATGACATTTTTGCTGCCATCTTTGTTTTGAAGTAGGAAACTGTCTTGAGAAACTGGTTAAAAATCATCATCATTTTTGACATCCATCATCCAGGTGGCTTGAAAAGAGTCTCCGAGGTTTCTGAAAACTTCCTTCACAATGGAAAATGTGGTTGTTGTTCAGATAAACAGATGCTTATCTCTGTGACTGAAGCTATTTATTATTTGTTTTATTTTGTCACTATAGGCACCTCTGGTTTATATAGGCAGACATACTGTAGGGCTAGCATGCACCTGGAAGGGTCAAAGAAGTTGTACTTTGTCACAAAAAGTCTGTATGGAAAATAGACTTTTGCCTGTGTAGAATTCGTTCCATGGTCTGTCATTGGCAGATACTCTGTACTTTGTGGCAACAGTTTGGGGTCTGACTTTTTTCCTTGTACGCAAAGCCAAGGTCTTTTCCTAGTTTGGTACGAAACTTGACTGGCTTGCTCAAAGCCTTGACATCCGCCCTGTGGAACACCATTGTGATGTGACACTGAGGGCTCATTACCCAACATCAATGTCTGACCTCAAGTTTTGTGGCTAAATGGGGGCAAATCCCTGCAGCCAGGCTCCACAATTCTGTGGACACAGACGAGAGAAAAGGCTGTTGTTACAGAATAGCATTAATACTCATTCTTAATGCTTGGCAAAGCACCTTTGTTCCACATACTTTAGACCGTGTAGCGTTCAGAAATGAGGCTACTGTACTTATAAAGTCTATAAAGTTGGGCAGAAACACAACAGCTGTGTGACATGTTCACAGGTAAATCTGTAGATATCAGAGCTGCAAGCACGTGCACTTGAGCTTTCATTCTCCAGAGCCCTCCAAAGGCTTCATTGAAAACTCGTGACCTAAAACTAATGACACATTCTTGAATTAACTCGGCCTGCCGAATAAAGGATGCTGCTATTATTCATTGGAGAGTCTCTTCAAAAAGCCAATTAACAAGCTCTACTTACAGTGTGAGAAGTGATTCATTTAATGGCGACCTGGCCTTCACTGTGAATACTAAAACTCATTCCTTGGTTGAGTAACACCAGTCTACATACAAAGCAGTTTTTAAAAAGCTAAAAGGTGGGCCGGTGGTCAGACAGCTTGAGTTCTCTTTGGGTCAAGTGTCACAGATGTATATCAGACCATAAGTTCTAATTTAGGTAAATCAATTATTATTCTCATACATAAACATAAATGTATATTTGGCAACAGCTTAGGTGATTGTCCTTGGGGTCAGGGGGAAAATACAGATGT